GTACTGAGCCTTGTTGTCCCATTTAGGTCTGGAGTCTGCTTCTTCTTTCTCAAGGACCTCAAGTTCTGTGTGAGAAGGTATCCTGTCCTCCAGGCCAGGATTGGGTAGCTGTAACTTCACCATGTTTTAAATTTCCTTCCTGAAAAAGCTCCCACAGCAAGGAGTTTGTGAAACAGGCAGCTAGTTAGAAATCTGCACAAAAAGAGACCATCTATTTGCTGTCTTCAGCTATATGTAGTGAACCTTTGGCACTAAACTTGAAACTGCAGAGCTGTGGTAAAAAGAAGCGTCAGCAAATCATCCAATTGACCAAGTCAGCTCCAACACTTATTAATGCTTTATCTGCCAAGGTTTTATGGAACAGTCTGTTCATCTAGTATAAGGCATTGATTTCAGTTAATGTAATTCAGGAGATAATTTGGCTATAAACTGTAATCACCTATAAGGTCACTGCCACTCCCCTGTTTAAACTCACTTAAATACATATATAACCCCAGCAGATATGAAGTAAAGTGATTCCACTGGCCTTGTAAGTCAGTGGAGGCTTCATCGGTTTTTTTTTTTTTATTTTTTTATTGTGAATATAAACTTGTGAATCATCATTCCATTCAGTTTCCCACAGAATATGCTAACTACTGAAGCATCTTCTTCTTTCTCTGCAAGAGGTATTCTGTTAAATGCTCAGACAGAAAGGATGGAGAACAAAAGGGATTATAAAATTTACAATTATAAGCATTATCTACTTACCCTTACAACTAGTTTAGAACATCTTGTAAATGGACAGGAATCAAAGGTCCCTTCACCTTTTCAATGGCCCTATGATGGTCAGAAGGAAAAGAGAAACACTGGCTAATGAATATCACAGATACCACTTGGGTTCCTCATCCTCTCAGTACAATCATAACAACACAGCTCTGTTCTTCACTATTATCAGTAGGCAAGTAGTTGCTTCAGAAAATACATACAATATCTAACATAGTTTATGTCGTGAGAATTTTGTCAGCTAAGACTTACAGGGTGATCAATATAAAGAACTAGAAGGGATCTTCTATGTCCAGTCCCTTCCAAAGCAAACAAATACACCCCCTTGCAACATGTCGATTAAAATTGATTTTATTCCCTGTTACTTAAAGACTGATCTAGAATTTCAACGTTCTTATGCCTGCTTTCTGCTTTAAAGAAGTGAACTTGTCTCTATTTCTTTTTTTTTATAAAAAAACTAATTTCTAGTCATATTGCATATGAGTCCATCTCCTTTTCATTTCCACTTATGACAGCCATAGGTCAGCACAAAGCTGATTCCTGCATTTGAACATCCTCGGTTTTACTTTTGCTAGGCTATATATAGCAAGGTGATTAGTTTCTTATGTGCAAAAGGGTTCTCCATTGTATCTCAAATAGAGAAATTACAGAAAAAATCTTCATCCTTGACATGAAAAAGTAAAACCATATACAGCAGCCCAGGATTTTTCCTGTGCCTTGTAATCAGACACAAGTATTTCCTTACCTTTACTTGAAATATCTCTATAATCTTCCTAGTGATATCATTTGCCTTTTTCATGACTTCGTCAGTTTTGCAGATTATCTGTCTCCTGATTACCACTGGATCAAAGCTTTTCTTCTTCTTATGTGGTTCCTAACCTGCAGCAGAATACCCTTTTCTAAGTTACCCAAATATATTTTAAATTTAGCCCACTTCATGCAACTCCAGTACACTGAGTTCTGCCTGAATGATACTCCACTTTTTCCAGTATTTTGGTACTTCTGAGCTTGTGTCATGGACATTTCACTAACATGCTACTACTCTTGTCCTTGGTCATTAGTAGAAGAGTGACAAAAGGTCTGTTTCTCAGCTTGAGCAAATGCACCAGTAACGTTCCCCCAGACCATCATTTCTGCTTTTGGCCATCATCAGATTTACTTCTTTCTTTATTCACTTTATATCTCCAATTTAGTTCAGCTAATACACAGCTGTGGTAAAGTGGCAACTGCTTCACAGACATCCAAAACAACTATCTTTACTGTGCTTCCCTTGTGCAGAAGAAGTAATTTTCACTTAAAAGTGAGAATAGAGAACTTCCAAACTGCAGTACCTGTATTTCTAGACTCAGAGAAGAACACTGACCTTTTGGAAAAGGAGTAAGAAACTGCATGCTCATCCTGGGTTATTATTCCGCTCGAATCAGGAGATGATCCCAGCATTCACACTGTAGGAAATATGAGACAGTAATAAACAACAGACAAAAGGCAGTCAGGAAAAGCAAACATCTCCTGATTTATATTTCTAATTTCTCTGGCTTGTAGCGTTTAGTTCTAGACTTCGTGAAGTCATACATAGAACCTTTTTCAGTATCTGAATCTGGTTATGATAATATGGTGTCCAAACAATTTCTATCATAGATACATGTTAATGATGATATATAATCATAAATCCTTGGTAAGTGAGATTCTGTATGGAATTTATTAATGCTAAAATACCATAGTTCTCCTTCAGTGCCATGCAAGCTGATGTAGGTTGTTAAGCACTGGAATAGGTCCCCCAGGGAGGTAGTTGAGTCACCATCCCTGGATGTGTTTAAAAACCATTTGGATGTGGTGCTCAGGGACATGATTTAGCAGAGGGTTGTTAGAGTTAGGGTAGTATGGTTAGGTTGTGGTTGAACTCAATGATCTTTAAGGTCTTTTCCGACCTGAGCAATTCTATGATTCTATGAATATATGATAGCAGGAATAATCTTATCTTCCATTGGGAACCAAATTACTGGAGGGTTAACTGACATGATATGAAATAAATGATGTGGAATGTTCAGGTGATATGCAAATTTCTCTCTAAGTTTCAGTTTGCATCAGGATCCAAGAATACATTTCAGAGTTTCTCTTACTTTGGTAATGCCAGGCTCCAGCGGCTTTTAAGTTGTTAAACATGTGCAGAAGCAGATCTGCTGGTACAGCACCTAGCTCGACTTTATTGATGCACAGCTAACGGTGTGTCTCGGCAGCACTGTGCCTCTGCGCAGGACCTGCAGCAGCACTGCCACCAGCTGCAGCTGGCCAAGGGGCTGCCTACATTGCCACCCTGTGGATTGGAGCAAACAACGTACCGTGCATCGAATGCACTTGCAGCAATGGCTTATTCCCCAGCGTGTCGTAGGACAAGCTTTTCTCAACTCACACTGACTGCAGCACCAGGCTGTGCACTGCCGCACAGAGCCAGAGATGCACAGTTATTTGCTTATTCAACAGGGCCCTTTCTTTTGCTCTGCAATTAACTTCTCCTTAGAGTTATGCAGGACTTTTCTTAGATCATAGAATTGCAGAATATCCAAAGTTGAAAAGAAGCCACAAGAATCACCGAGTCCAACTCCTGGCTCCCCACAGCATTACCCAAAAATGAGACCAGATAGCTGAGAGTGTTACCATATACTTCAGAAATCCAGCAACATGTGGCCATGACCACTGCCCCGGCGGCCTGTGCCATGCCACCATCCTCTGGTGAAGAACCTCTTCCTGATATCCAGCTGGAATATGTCTTTCACCTTGCAGGACGATGAAGACCTCAGGAAAATGTAAGAGAGGAAAGTAGAAGAATGATACCATGGATAGAGATGAGTAAAACAGTAAGGAAGGGGTGGCCTGCTTCCTTCTGTGGGGACAGGTCCAGGCATGATGTACAGGGCTCCTGGCAGCACTCAACATGTTCAGCTCCTTTGGTTAACCTGGCAAGGGCTGGTGTGTCTGGTGAAGGCATAGGGCTATTTTCAGTAGGCATAGCCCAAGACGGTTTTGGTTGGCCTCCTTCATTCTGAGATGCAGATACATCCTGATACTCCTCCCAGGTTGACCACCTGCCAGCTTCTCCTGCTTCTGACCTTGCTCAGGTCTCACTTGGTGTTGGCACTCCTGGGACAGCGCAACTCACTAATCCTGCAGAAAACCATCCCCACTGGGAGGACACTGTCATCACTTCTGTGAATGAATTGAATCCATCAACTGAAGAAACTGCTGGCTCCAGCCAGGGTACCTTCTGGATGGGTGCAGTGAGTGGACGACAAGGATAACCAGGAAAAGAAAGCAAGTGTGCTCTTTAAAAATCAAATATTCCTTTATTTCAAAGCCACTGAGAGAAACAGAGAGCAGTGTAAGAGGTTTGCATTCAGACATAGTTTCAGGAATGAAATACAGAATGTTTATTTCTTTGTGATTCCATTGTCCTTGATATGATACAGGATGTCTGCAACTCTTCAAATATTTTGAGAGTGATGATTACAGAGCATTGCAGCTAAAAATCATACGCATCAGGTTTGCTCTCTAATTTTGCTTTACAATATTCAATACTATCAGAATGCATTTCATTTTCTGGCCTTTCTTATTACTGTAGCAAATACTGGTATGAATCATAAAATCCTGGAATCATTAAGGTTGGAAAAGACCTCTAAGACCATCTTGTCCAACCATCCATGTACCAGCAATATTACCCATTAACCATGTCCATCCGTGCTACGTCCACCCTTTCCTTAAGCACCTCCAGGGAAGGTGACTCCACCACCTTGCTGGGCAGCCTGTTCCAGGGCCTGACCACTTTTCCTAGAAGAAATTCTTCCTAATCTCCAACCCGAAATCACTTCATGATTCTATAGCATTATCCACCAGTATTAATTAAACTCTTTTCAGTCAGCTTGTACTTCCCAAAGCAACATATGCATATACACATTACTTTTTGTGTAGTTTTGGTCATTTAACTGTTGGTCACATCAATCTGTATGTGTCATGGAAAGAATATGCAGATCTGTGCATGCCTGTGAAGAGGTGAAGAGTCATAGACTGCTGATGGGTTACATGTTACAGATTGAAGTTGCATTACTGTGAAGATTGTATTTTAGAGACAATCAAGAATATGGTAGATTCCTGTATGGGAACTGCTGAGTCACAGTCTGAACCTCTGATTGATCACCTGCGAGCCATGAGTCAGCCAGAGGAGCTCAGGTGAAGGCAATTCTCCTGTGCTCCTAGACCTATTTAAGAGCTGGCTACGGGGGGAAGGGTCTCTTCTGGAGATTGCCTCTGCTGGTGTTTTGTGATGAGCCCAAGGTAGGGGTAAGCTTTCTATTTATTCTCTTTTGTTATCATAGTCTACTTTGCCTCACTTTCTTGTTTGTTTTGTGATTATAACATCCTAATGTTGTTTGATTATACAGCTCCTCACTTAATACTTCTTTCTGTTCTTCTTCCATTCTTCCAGTGGTAAATCACGGTATTATTTTCAGAGCTCTGGAGCTCCAGAGCTATCCTGTAGGTATCCACTGTTAGCAATATGTTTTCCTTCTCTCTTTCAAAATGCCCCAATTCATGAACAGATGGGAAATTTCTAGAAGACATCCTTGGCAGGTCTTAGGAAAGAGACTGCCAGCAGTACAATTTCTTGCAAGGCCCTACTGATACTGTCTCACCTCCTTTGAACATGCTTGTGCATGTTCACCATCTTCCCTTCAAAACAACACTACTTACTCCTCCTGCACAGATACCTTCAAGATGGAGGAACATCATCTATGAAGTGCTTCTTTCCACATCTAGATATTCCTGTGGCGGCAAGCATCCAAAACGAGAGCCAAGGCATGGTGGCTCAGCATCTGCTCCTCCTTCTCTTTCTGCTGCCATCACCTGGGGCAAAAATAAAACCTGACTCAGATATTGAGGGTAATGAAGTGGAAGATTGTGCAAAGCAGAGGTTGTGTGGTGAGCCTCAAACAGGAAAAGACAGAAATATAAAGAGAGAGGTAACTGTACTGCAGGATGCCTTGGGCATAGGATTGTTATTTGAAAGAGTGAGATGGGGAAGATACAAGTGATGAAGAACATTTGGAAGTTAAACAAAATGCTCTGACAGTCTGTCCCTGTCAAAGTCTGGACCTTCTGTAAAAAATGTTCAGAGAAAATAAGGAATACTTTTGTGAGCTAACAGTGGGCAAAATCCAAAAACCAGATGTACATAGAAGGAGCGCTGATCCCCAAGTTGAGGGTACTCAAAATCCTGAGCATAAGGGACTGTAACAATCCCATCAGAACACAAGATACACAGGCAAAATGTTTCAGTTGCTTAGTTTTAGGGGTAATATTCAACAGCAGGTAGTTATAGAGTTTGCCGCACCAAGAGATATTCTGTAGATCTTTAACTTGGTCTAAGTTTTATGCTCTGTTGTTCTCCAACTCTAGGTGGTAAGCAGACAAAAGGCACAGCTCCTCAGGTGTCAGGGCTGAATTCCTGTGTGTGTGCTCACACACACTGCCATCATCAGTACTACAGCAGTTCACGCAGGGATACCTTGAAGGTTTTGGAGAAATTCAATATATTTTGGAGACTAAATCTCTTCTAATGCATATGTGAACTTTTCTGGATGGAAGAGAAGTAATTTTGTATAACCACAGAGGAGAAACAACAGATTGCTCACTGAAACTGCGTTTCAGGCTGTTGGGAACATAACAGAGGTAGGGTGTTATGTTAATTGTGTTAATTATGTTAATGATGATTTCCACAGGCAGCCCATTCAGGAAACTTTAGTGGTGCCGGTGCTGTGGTATGCAATGAGATACTAGGATGCTGCTGGACTGCAGCCCTGCACGGCATCTTTACACAAAGGTCTGTGATAAAACCTGGTTTGGTGTAGAAAAATTCATTCTGTCTTGGTCAACAAAAACCACATTGCTTCTTATCTTTCTTATTATCATGCTCCAAGTGCACCTGGAGCAGAAAGATCTGTCCACAAAGTGGGAGTTTATAAAAACAGGAGGTTGCAGCTCAGGCTGCTGACAAGAAGTGTGATTAGCCACGTGAGGGGGTCAGCACTTAATAACATGAAGCACCAACTGCTTTAGCTGAGGATTTTGTTTGTGCTGTGTAAATCCTGTTCAGAAGTCAGGCGTCTAGGAAAGACAAACCTGCAGGAGTGCTTGTAAGATGGGGAAAAGGAGAGGTTTTGCAGCAGTTGGCCAGTTCTGGTGGAATCAGCCCAGAGCACGAGCTGTTCAGGGTGTGAGTTGCAACCACAGTGCATCTCATGGTCTCTCTGCACTCCTCAGTCTCTTCCTCAGGTTCAGTTTTCAGAGGCAGCATTTACTTTCAGGTGATTGACAGCTCCCATTACTATCCATTACAGTAGCTAGCACTTCTGGGGTACTTCTAAGTAATGCTTTTCTTTGCAAAGTAATGCTCATGGGGGAAATTGATTTCTAGACCAGGCTTGCTGTGTGGACACTGATGTTGCAATGGTGTCTTCAGCTAGATGGACTAAGACTCCCCAGACCTGTTCTGATGAATACTTGCAATACAATTGGCATGTGGACCTATGTCATGCTACGGTGTCTGCACATCAGTTATGTTATCTTAAACTACATAGGCATCACATCTTACATATTAAACACAACTATGAACAAAAGGCAGTCCTATGTCTTTCATAGGCTGGAACAATTTCTACTGACAATTTAGAATGATGCATGGTTTGCTCAACTCCTTGATCTTTCCCCATGAACTGCTCAAGGAAATCCCTAGTAGTGCACTAGATCCTTCACACCAGGTGTTAGGCAATATATCTAAACATCTAGACAGCATCTGTTCATTTTCACAGTGTGGTGATATCTGTAATCACTTCAGTTAATACTGGTGCTCTTGTGTATTTAATGATGCTTTTCCTTTAGAAAAAGAAATGCTTTCTGCACACCTGCAGAAAGCTTTCTGCATTTACACAACCTTAAGATTGTGAAGTGTTAGAAAGTTGACATAAAATAGCAAATTCCTCTCTTCCCACCTACCTCACCCAAGTAATAAAACAGTGAAGAAAGGTGTAAGGATTTATTTTATTTGTTTATCCTTGTTTGCTTGTTTAACATGAATGGTATTTTCATAAAATAAAAATAAAAAAACAGCCTTCATTAAATATTTGAAAATAAATTCTTCTTTCATTCTACATATATGTATATGGGCATTTTCAAACAAATAGCTAATCCGGAACAATAGTTGCTGGGCGACAGTTCACAACAGATCTCTCAAAATAACAGTTTACAACAGGGGAATGTTTAAAAAAAAAAAAAAAAAAAAACCACAACAAACTAAGAAACATGAGGACTGATGCTTCTAAACTAGTTACACACACGGAAAAACGTTCCTGAAATAAACTCCTTGATCTTAATACACTCTTAATACACTGATCTGCAAAGTATCCACAAACAACAGTTCCACACTTAGTTGTAGAAATAGTTGATAACTTATAAAGGAGAGTGAATATCCAACATCACATGGTTGAAGATCAAACACATGAAGTTTCCACTCATTCATTTATACTGAAAAAAAAGTATTTTACCCTCTCGATTTCATTTTTTAATTTTGAGTTGATGTCAAGGACATGAACTATGGAAAAAAAAACTGAAAAAGCATAGCATCTCAACTTTTAATATTTAAAACTAGTGAAGATGTACAAAGTCAAGATATGAGGCTTGAATGTATTGGCATCAATTCACTGTCTACTGTTTGCTAGATGTGTTGCTGTAACTGCTTGGATGTACACATGAAACATGACTGTTGTGTGGTCACACTTTACACATCCTGAAGGAATTATACACAAGGTAAGTTGTTCAATCAGATCTGTTCTACTGGGCACTTAGGGCATTCACATGTGGTCAGCTACAACAGCTACACAAAAGTACTAACTCACATTTTCATGGTACAACCTGCATAAGCTTGGCATCCAGATAACCTCTGGCCTTTCTAGTGACTGTGATTGTATGTCTTTTTTCCCCATGATTAATCATTTAAACTTTATTTAAAAATAAAAAAGAACAGCCCATAAGAAGCTAACAAATTAGTACAACAAAATGAGTAACACCACAAAGGTGAGCAAAAAGACAGATGGAAAATAGAGTACTTGAGAAACAAACGTGTTTAAGAATTTTGTTCCATGTTATTGTGATTCTGTGATTCTATGATTGTTGCTGAGAAACTCAATTAGGTTGTATACTTTTTTTTTAATTAGGTTGTTACTTCAGAAGATTTATCTTCTGTCATTTGTTCCTGACTAAAATGCAACCGAGAGGCAGTAGTAAGAGAAAACTGCATCTGCTGGAGGTCTCTATTAAACTTGGATGGGCATTCACTGAACTGGATTGGTTTTGGGCTATGTGACAGCTAATTGCCTAGAGCAAACGTTTGGCAGTTAATAAAGAAATGCTAAAGAACCAACAACTTAATAACACTAATTGAAGGCAAGTAACAAAGAAAATAGGCATTATAAACAAAAAGGTAAACACTTCCTATTTGGGCTCTCAGGCTGGATTAGAAAGGAGCAAGAAAAAGAGGTACACTACAACATACCTGGCACTTTTGAAAATGAAAGTGGTTCCTGTTTTCTCCATTGGCTAAAGAACAAAGCTTTAAGAGATTTCAAGCATGGAAATGTAATGTTTTATTTTTTAATCCAGATCTGTGTATTGTGATAATAAAAGTAAAATGCCTTCTTTTTAAATCTTTACAAAGTTTGTACATCTGTAGGCTTTCACAGCCATGTGGACATGAAGGGTTAAGCTCCAAATTTAAGAGCTGTGGAACAGTGTGCTTCAGGTCTGGGAGCACAGAGACAGTCAGGAAGGGAATGGGTGGCTACCAGTGCCCAGCTGCATTTAGGCTCCTAACTGGGACTCTTGTACAAGAAGTACAGCCAGGTGCAATGACTATCATGGCTCCTGAAAGCTAAAAATGTACCAAGTGCACTGGGATGCAGAGGCAGCAGGAGAGCAATGTCTATAATGGAGACACAATGCTGAGTTACAACTAAAACTTTGAGGAAAAGAAAAAAAACAAGTATTCTTAACGTGAATAATGTACGGTGAGAATATAACTGCAAGTCTACATACTATTTAATGTTCAAGCATGTCTCCCCAACTCCAATGTGATTTTAATCATTTCTTTACATGTTATTCTAATTACCATCTTTTGGATGTTCATAAAGTCCTGTTTGTATTTTAAGTCTGGAAGACAATGCAAGACTGGTTAATATGAAACGTAATTATACTATTCCTTTCTTATATACATGTACACAAACATACATACATATTGTTATAAATGTATGTATATATGCACACACATTATGTGACAGGCACCTTACTCAATTATGGTTTCTTCCAAATTCTGCTGAAAAGTGAAAGATAGTGTTGAGACACTGTGCAGAACATCAGGAATAAGGAGCATGACATTATCATCTACTTAAGGAAGAAAAATTCCACTTCTTTGTTGATGGACTATGACCTGGGTAAATTACTCTAAATCAAATTCTTTTGCTGCTTCTGAGACCTACTGAAGCTTGTACTGCAGACTGCAGTGTAATACAGAGATACACAAACACAGTTTTAGAGCATGCACAGCTCACTGGAGCATCTGTTGTTAAACAACACTGCAAGTCCCATGCAGATACAAACGCAACGAAGAGCAGAAACTGCAATGCAGAAAGAGAACTTATCAGCTTCAGACTATAGCTGTGGTTGTCCCTCATCTTCATAGTAGATTGTATAAATCACCATTATTTCCCCTAACGTTTTCCTAACATTACATTTTCTACCCTTTTGAACTTCTGTAATTCAATAGCTAGTTCCCAGTATCTCAAATACAGCCACATCAGCCTTCCGTTCTGACTTCTGCTTTTGTTCATCAGATTGCCACAATAGTTATCATGTTTGAAAATATCTTTTAAGCCACTTTCCATATGTAAAGCCATAGCAACTGGATCAGTTGCTGCTTTAACTAGCAGATTTTTCTCTATTTCTAGTCTCTGGCTTTTAGGGACTACAAAACTGCAGTAGATTTCCTGTCTTTCTTTAAGCCCATCTTCAAATTCTTTTAGTAAAGTGTTGGCTCTCTTCTGCCACTCCTCTTCCTTTGCCAGACAGCTTTGGTACAAGGTTCCTGCTGCTCCCGAGTGCAAAAGAACTTCTTTTTCTCTCTCTAACTTCTCTTGCTCCTGCTCTAGGGTCCTTCTTTCTTCCACCAGTTTGCGACTCTGGGACACGAGGGCTTCACGGTAACTCAGGGTCCTGTTGCGTTCCTTTTCAAGCTCCAGCTCCAAATGTGCAACTGCACGACGATTTTCTGTGATTATATCCCGGTATTTGGCTTCCAGGTCTTTTTGTAAAGATGACTGCTTTTTATAATATTCTCTTTTTTCTCTTTCTATTTCTTTCTGACATTCTCTGGTCCAGATCCAGCCTAAAACACATAAATGAGACTACAATGATCAGCACTGATGGGTACGGATAATTAATTTTGCCCCTAAAGAAACCTCTTTAGGTTTCAATGGTGAAAACATTCCTTCCTCCCCCCTCCCACTCCATTTGGCAACACTGAGGAGTGGCCAGCAGGGTGATGGAAGTGATTGTTCCGCTCTGCTTTGCCCTTGTGAGGGCCCACGTGTAATACTGCTTTCAAATCTGGGGCTCCCAGCTCAGGAAAGATGTGAAGCTACTGGAGCAGGTCCAGAAGAGGCCACATAAATGATCAGAGGGCTGGAGCACCTCTACTATGAAGACAGGCTGAGGGAGCGGGGCTTGTTCAGCTTGATGAAGGCTCAAGAGAAATGTGACAGTAGTCTTCCAATATGTAAATGGAGTTTACAAGCATAAGGGCAATCAAGTTTTTGCATGGGTAGATACTGATAGGACAGGAGGGAATGGGTTTAAAACTAAAAGAGGGGAGATTCAGATTAGATGTCAAGGGGGTATTTTTTACAGAGAGGGTGGTGAAGTAAGGAACAGGCTGCCCCAGGTAGCTGTGGATGTCCCATCCCTGCAGGAGTTCAAGGCCAGGTTGGATGGGACCCTGGGCAACCTGATCTAGTGCACAATTCAGTGGTTGTCAACTCTGCCTATGTCAGGGTGGTTAGAACTAACTGATCTCTGAGGTCCCTCACTATTTATTTATTTATTATATGGTTCCATGATGTTCACTTCTGTTCACACATCCCACAAAATGTATTTCTGCAGGTCCACATTTCACAGGAGGTCTCTTTCAGGGATCATGTTTTGTTTGAACATACCCATTAGACTTTTTTTTTTCCAAGTACATATACTTACTTATGAAGGAAAAAGGAATTATTGGTAAACAGGATGGAAGTTTTTCATGCATAAGCTGCACTGAGAAATTTTCAGGTCCAGTAAGCAGATATACATCACGACCTCTCTGGGGTTGTTACGCTGGGGCTCTCTAACATACTAGTTATGCGAGATCTTTCTGAAGTTTATTAAAAGTGATTGAACTCCATGTGTCAAAAACGGCCAATGCCCCAACGTTATAAGCGCTGTTACAGTGACATTCCCAAAAACGGGCAGGTTCCGGGGACAGCGAACAGAGCAGAAGTCCCCAGCTGGGGCACTGCTTTGTTGCTGAGATTTGCTCCCGTTCAGAGCTTTCACTGCGGTCAGACGCCCAAAAGCAACAACGCCCAGCAGGGCAGATTTGCGCTACTTACGGAAGGCAGCCAAACCCAGCATGGGGACCAGCAAGGCATAATTCCACCTGCTGCCTTCATCCCTGGGCTCTCTGTGATGCGGCAGGATGTTCCAGTTGGGAGGATCATTTAAGTTATTCATGAAGACGCCCTGGGAGAACAGGAGAGAAACACCACGTTAGCGCTACGCCCAGGGACACCGACAGCTCCCACGGCCACCGCCAGCGGTGATTCGCGGCCAGTTATTTCCGCCCCGCACCCTGAGTCACACCAGACCGCTTCCAGAGGAACGAAATCCTCAGGCACGCCGTCCCACACACGGGGAACGGCGCTGCCGGCCCCTCAGGCCTCACCAGCCACCTTTGTCCCCGCCTGGCCCTGCCCCGGCCGGCTGCGGGAACAGCGCACACCGCCAGCACCCCTGAGGCCTCCGCGCTGCCGGCGGGCACGACCAGGCAGACGACCGCGGAGCCGGAGCCTCACAGGGTCACCACGTACCGGCCCGGGGCCGCCACCGGTGTCACTTACTGCCCGTCCCGCCCCTGCCGGGCCGGCCCATTAGTGTAGAGAAACGGGGGGTGTTGATGTGAGGGGACGGTCTGAAGGTAAGGCCGCCCAGGCACACCCCGGTCCGCCGCTTGGTCTGTCCCGCCGGGGCCTCCCGAGCAACGGCGCCGGTAGCCGCGGCCTTGCGCATGCGCGCTGCGGGCTCCTCCGGCGCTGCGCGAAATGGCGGCGGCGGTGGTGGGGGCGTCGCGCAGCCTGGCTAAGTGCTGGCTGCGGCCGGCGGCGCGGGCGGTAAGTGGCGTCCTCACCCTGCCGGGCTCGACTGAGTCCGATCTTCCTTCTCTTTCTTTCCTTTTCCCGCAGGCGGCCCGGCTGAGCGGGAAGCCTCCGGCCTCGGGGCTGGCGCAAAGATCCCCCCGGGCGGGGGCCGGGCATTGCGGGCACGGGGCGCTGCGTGTGCTGCCGCTGCCGGAGCAGCGCGCCCGGCTCCGTGCCGCCGCGCGCGGGGCGTCCCCTGTGCCGCGTCCCCACGGTGACCTTGGCGGGGGAACCGGCTCCGGGGCGCGGGATGAGGCCGAGAGCCGGGGCCGCGGGCTCTCCCCGGGCTGGGGGCTCTGTCTGCAGTTTTTTATTTTGGAGCGAGGCCCTGCGCCCTCGGGGGCTGCTCGGCGCGGCCCCGTTGCTGCTTCTGGCTGGGAGCCTGCGGGCGCGGCTGCGGTTGAAGGGTGTGCTGCGAAGGTCTGTTCCCTGCAGCAAGCCGGCTGATCTAAGTGCCTTCTGCCCTGGCCTCTGGGTAGAAACCTTGCTGCGCACTCCTATGAGGTCTTCGTGGAAAGCTGGACAGAGTCCATGTTACTGGAGCTTGGCTGTGCAGGGAGTGTGTCTCAAACATCTGACAGCTTTACTTCAGCTCATCTGTAAGGATCATCAGTGAAGGCTGAGAATAGAACGGTTAGAAGGGACCTGTGAAGATCATGAAGATCCAACAGCTTGTTTTTTATCTTGCGAAATGGGAGCTTTCTGTTTGTTCTTGTTTCTGTGGGGACCTTGTGATGATAAAAGAGGCACAAGGAAGGAAAGCTCACAGCGCACCTATAGTTGACCCCATCTTGTAAGGTGGCAATTGGCTTCTTCTCTCAGGTAGCAACAGTCAGATGAGGGATAATGGCCTCAAGTTGTACCAGGAGAGGTTCAATTTGGGTATTTGAAGTTTTTTCTCAGAGTGGTGAGGCAGTGTCACAGGCCAGGGAGGTGGTGGAGTCACTGTCATTGGAGATATTCAGGAAATATGTGGATGTAGCACTGGGGGACATGGTTAGTGGGCATGGTGGGGATGGGTTGGCAGTCAGACTAGATGAGCTGAGTGGTCTTTTCTAACCTTAATGACATGTGCAGGAGTGAGACTTCTAATTGGAGAAAGAGGCTTAAAGAGTATATTTACATTCTGAACGCCAGTGAAATAGCTCTCATTGGACCTTTGATTTTATTTTTATTTATTTATTTTTTTCCTAAGGCTCACAGTGTACCTGGTAGCATAAACAGCTCAGGGTTAGTATGACCAATATGTTCTTTAAATTTGGTACTTTTTTTTTTTTTCTGGAGTTCTTCACTTTGAGAAAAGCTTAATAGCAGCATCTGTGTAGTTTTAACAAAAAAGCGTGTGTGAATAGGGATAGCAGTTCTGAAAGCTTTTGTTTTAACAGAAGCTAAGATGTGAGAAGGAGTCCACTAGACATGTGTGGTTTTTCTTTTTGCTTTTTTTAATGTGTTTCCAGATGGAAAATCATATTCCCAAAGTTAACAGCCCCAGGACTATGGAAGTGTGGTATTGCCACTTCAGAAAACAGATTTTTTTGAAAAAGAAATTATTTTTAAGGCATGGCTGAAAGCCTTCAGAAATGACTCCCATTTTTGAGGGAGAAAATATGGGTCAATATCTTTTTATGCTTCAGGGCATAATGACTGTTCATAGCTCTTTTTTTTCTTCCCTGTTACTTATGGTTTCTTTAAGCCACTGTAAGTATGTGCAAATCTACTTCTTGTGTGCTATCTTTATATGCAGCAAAGATCTTCTTTTGAATTGCTTTGTACAACAAACAGAACCATAGAATTATTAAAGTTGAAAAAGACCTCTTAAGATTATCTTGTCCAACCATCCACCTACCACCAATATTGCCCACTAAATAACATTCCTTAAGACCTCATCTGTGTATTTCTTGAACACCTCTGAGGATGGGGACTCAACCAGCTCCCAGGGCAGCTGATTCCAGTGCCTATATATATATATATATATATATATATATATTTTTTTTTTTTTTTTCTTTTGAGTATTCTTCACGTAAAAGAAATCAGTTATTGTAGTAATTGGAGCTGTGCTGTTGTCAGAACAACATTTTGGAGATGAGCAATAGTAATAGGGCATGCTATAACATGCATGGCTGCCACGTTTAAAGCATGCAGCCCATCATGGCAATTACTTCTGCTTGTCTTACTTTGGTTGATCTTAGGCCTTTGAAGTACTTTCTGTATGGTGAGGGCATCCAGTTTTAACTTGGTGTGACATTGGTGGGTGAACTGTTCTGCAGATAAATAACTTCTGCTACTTCAGTTTCATTTGGTTGCCAGTCAATCACATAATCTGTTTCTGTATCTGCAGTGTTAATGAAGATGACTTAATATGGAAAGTCAGGTGGGTATGGAATTGTCCCAGAGTGTGGTAACAGAGCAAGGTAGAAGCGGAAGAGTCACTTCTTTAAGAAGTGCAAATGGAATTAATTAGTAATAGCTGTTAATACTAATCTTGTTTAATTAGGTAAGAACCTAATTCCCTTGGCTATAAAAAAAAACAAAAACAAAAAACAGAAATGTGTCAGCAAGTTTGATGACGCATCAGATTCACCGTTGCACAAGATCATTTGAAGGAACAGAAAAAGAGATGATGAAGCTGGGTCAACTAAAGGCTAATGTACTTTACTTAGAAAGTGGTCACTGGGAAGTGATGGAGAAGCAGGACCTGCTTCTTAGGGTTTGCAACTGCTAGGTGATTAGGCCATGGCTGTAACAATTGCTGGGAAAAGAAAAGTCAGTTAAAAATGCTCCAGGGTGATGCCTCAAATAGAGAAGTGCTGATATTGTGTTACCAATCACTGTTATTACTGTGTTGCTGTTCTAATCAAACATATGTGCTCAGTTAGATACATTTTTTTAACAATGTAGGGTAGGAATAGTCGATGCTAATAAATTGGTGACCTATACTGTGAGCACTAAAAACTCTGATTTCTTTAACTTACTAAAGCAAAAGTGGATACTGGGTGGATTGAGGTATTAGGTTTGGTTGTTGTTTTTGTTTTGTTGGTTTTGAATGTGGTAGGAAAGAGGGAATAACATTACAGAAAGGGGTAAGTGCCTCTGTGCTTCATTCAGGTATGAACAAATTGTTCCAAATCAGTCACTGATTGTAGAGAATGAAAACAAGAAGAACAGACTTGGCTTTTGAAGCAACGATAATCAGGAACAGCCTTTCCCACCACTGTTTATTTAAACTCATTACTTTTAAGCACCTGAAATAATTCAAATTCTCAGTGTTGTTTGTTGAGAAGTATTTTACAGTAATTTGTGTGATTGTCATAAAGCTGTCTTCATCTTTGCTTACATAAGAGAAAATTGTAATAATATACCATGTTGACTGCAAATACACTTTTATCACTGCAGCCACAGGTAGGTCTGAGAGACTGGTTAGCGATCTGATAGTTACATCCTTTTATTTGCAGGTTGGTCTTTCATCCGTTCAAAACTTTGAATGCTTTCATAACTGAGTGTAAGAGAGCCCAAACTTCACTGCATTTATTCTGAAATACATTGATACAGTGCACAGCCCGATCTTGTGGGTGGCAAGGGCCGTGGACTTGGACCTGTGTGGGTTTCAAGGTCCCTTCCAACCCAAACTGTTCAACGATGGTTCTGTGATTCTTAAATCAGTGTTGAATAAATGGTTACTGTAACACTGAATAGTTGGGTATGCTGAAATTCTTCCTCATGAAAAGATTTGTTTCATAATAGTTGTCTTGATTTTTTTTTTTTCTGCAGTGGCCAGCAGCATGCCAGACTCTTGCACGCAACTTTCACTTCACAGTCGATGGAAAGAGAAGTGCTTCTGCCAAAGTTTCTGATTCGGTATGTTCATACTTCTCTCTGTCTCAAGTAACAGAGTAGTTAACACCTAATGTATCAGAGATACAGAAGAAAACAGCTTGCTGTGTTGCGTCCAGTGCTTGTGTTGGTGGCGTGCTCAAGTGCATAGTGAGATTGAGTTGCTGAAATACATTGCATATGTATGAATAACTTCAAATTAGCTGGAAATACTTGTGATAACAAACACACTCTTATTTTTTTCCAGATTTCTACGCAATATCCAGTTGTGGACCATGAGTTTGATGCAGTTGTTGTGGGTGCAGGAGGAGCAGGCCTGCGGGCTGCATTTGGTTTGTCTGAGGCTGGGTTTAATACAGCGTGTGTTACAAAGCTGTTTCCCACCAGGTCTCATACTGTTGCTGCGCAGGTGAGAAATGAGGTGGAACATATGCTTAGAGATACCTACTGTAAGAAAGGTGATAGGGATATGCACAGGAGCATTGCATATCACTGTGGCCTCTGTGAATATTATATCTCTCTCCAAAATAATTTCAATTAAATTTATACATGTAGCTTCTGTTTAGTTCTCTTTTTTGTTGCCTTCCATGTAGCTTTGCAGTTTGTTTTGTTCCTCTAAACAGAGCAAAATAAATGTGGCTCTGGGCTGCCTGGTCTAGTGGTGGGCAACCCTGCCCATGGGAGGGAGGTTGAAACTAAATGATCTTTGAAGTTCTTTTCAACCCAGGCCTTTCTACGATAAAGAGCCATTGCAAAAATGATAACTTGCATGCATTTTTTTCACAGCCTCTTTAAATCTGTACTTACTTGTATGTAGAGTACA